GGGGGGGAGGACGATATAATCTTACAAACTCAACAGGTTTGGGTATGTAATTGTTCTGTGTTCTTTTGTTTACAATACAGATTGTATTTTTTATATTCATCTACGCTTTTGCATTTTAAGAATGTCCGGAAATGACGATTATCGTTTTATTCAGAGCGCGTTATATTGTCGGCAAAATTCAGTCATGCACCCTCCCAGATATAGGGACTTCGTTTCTCCTCTACAAGTGATGGCTGAATGCAGAAACCCGGAAGTGTTTGATATATACAACTTCCTGTGTATACATACGCCTAAAACTGGTCCGAGATCTAACAAATAATGTTCCATGAGAAGCCTTATTTATCATAAATGTTTATAAGTAAAAGTTATAATAGTAAAATAGGTCGTAAAGTGAAAATACGCGACTCGTAAGCTAAACGAATCACAAAAATCAGCCTAACTTTTGTAAATTATCGCTCGTGGACAGTGTTTTATATCAGCTATTTCCGCCAAGTTTAGGCTTAAAACTACCGTACTGCCACGAGTCAATTACTTTGTAATGTGTTGACAGGATGTTATTTTAAAATAATCATGGAAATCCTGTCAGTTTTATTTTACGTGAACTGACTACTTAAATCATATACTTATGATTTAATATTGCTAGAATTGCGACCATATTATAAAATTGCGTTCTAGGAAATACTGTTAGTACGTGAAGTTGTTGTCAGACAAAGAATAGAAATAGTAATTGTTTCAGATAATTGGAAGACATTTTTTTTTCTCCACCAGTTCAATATAGAATTCCTAATTTTAGCCTAATCCCATTTAAAACATTAATATATACGTATGAGCGAGGTTCTAGTTGTTTATTTCACATGACATCCCACTAAAGAGATTTTTGTAATAAATTAGACTTACATTAGCAATTATTAATTCCAGACAACTAAGTTACGAAGTGTTCTTAGAAATAACGATTAGCGCCTACTGTTTTAACATTATATTATATATGTCTAAAACGTACCCATGGAGGAGATGTTCTAATAAGGCACTGGAGTAAAGAGATTTTTGTAGCGTTGTCAATATCTGCACCTGGAAAACAAGGACAGTCAACATGACGACATTTGTGTAGCAAATTCTTGTTTTATAGAAAACAAACATAATATATAGCATGGAACTGTATAAAACTAGTAGAAAGTCAAGCTACAGTTAGAGTTGTTACAGTTTTTTAAGTCTTACTGTCCATTATTCTTCATCAGTTTTGACAATCCACTTGTTCTTTATTATTCAGCCACGCTGCTAATCCAATTATTCTTTACTTTTCTGCTACACTAGTAATCCAATTATTATTTACTTTTCAGTTACATTGCTGATCCAACTGTTCATTATTCTTCAGATACTTTGCTAATCCAACTCTTCATTATTCTTCAGATACTTTGCTAATCCAACTGTTCTTAATTTTTCTGTTACACTAGTAATCCAATTATTCTTGACTTTCAGCTACATTGCTGATCCAATTCTTCATTATTCTTCAGATACTTTGCTAATCCAACTGTTCTTAATTTTTCTGCTACACTAGTAATCCAATTATTCTTGACTTTCAGCTACATTGCTGATCCAACTGTCCATTATTCTTCATCTACTTTGCTAATCCAACTGTTCTTAATTTTTCTTCTACACTAGTAATCCAATTATTCTTTACTTTCAGCTACATTGCTGATCCAACTGTCCGTTATTCTTCATCTACTTTGCTAATCCAACTGTTTATTTTTCTGCTACACTAGTAATCCAATTATTCTTTACTTTCAGCTACATTGCTGATCCAACTGTCCACTATTCTTCAGATACTTTGCTAATCCAACTGTTTATTTTTCTGCTACACTAGTAATCCAATTATTCTTTACTTTCAGCTACATTGCTGATCCAACTGTCTATTACTCTTCAGCTGCTTTACTAATCCAGTTCCTTATTCTTCAGCTACTTTCCTAATCCAGTTCCTTTCTTAATCCTACTCTTTCCTTCGTTAATACAAATATTTTAATTTATTATTTAACCATATTATTAAACTCACTGTCCCCTTGTTTTTAACTACCTCATCAAAAACAGAACTGTGTTATTTTGTTATTTAACAGTGTTGCTACTCCGATTGTTGCTTGTTCTTTAACGACATCCCACATCTATTGTTCTTCATTTTAAGTGTGTTGGTACTTCAACTTTTCTTTATTGTTTAACTTAGCTGTATATCACCTTATTTTCTGTTCTGTAAGCGGTAAGTCTTTGGATTTACAATGCTAAAATCAGGGGTTCGATTCCTACTCGGTGGACACAGCAGATAGTCCGATGTGGCTCTGCTGTAAGAAAACACACACACACACACACACGGTACTAAACATATTTTTTATTTTGTTTCCCAACCGTGTTGCTAAACCAGTCTATTTTTTCTTTTCTTTTAACCATGTCTCAAATAGAATGATTTTCCTTACTCAGTTTGTTTATTCTTGAAGCAAGGTTTATTTATTGTATGACTAAGGTTATCTGCCCCAGGAAAGCTAACCAGGGGAATAAGCGACACAATGGTCCAACGCAGGGAACCGAACCCAAAATGATAGCGTTTTATTTGTTTGTTTGTAATTAAGCACAAAGCTACACAATGGGCTATCTGTGCTCTGCCCACCACGGGTATCGAAACCCGGATTCTAGCGTTGTAAATTCGTAGACATACCGCTGTGCTACTGGGGGGGGGGGGGGCTATAGCGTTTTAAGTCCGGAAACTTGCGACTGACCCACCAGGGGACAAATAAAATGTTCTAATTTATTAACCTTTTTTCTTCTTATCTCTTTACACAGATCTCGCATTCATTCAGCCAATTTTAGGATCAACGATTTATGTACCTTTCTATGTCTAGATATTTTCTTAATATAATATATTTAGAGGTTTCTTCCACAAAACTAGCTTTAGGCAACCAAATCAGCAGATAAAATACACCTGTGGACACGGTTGGACTCGTTCTTGATATAATATATTTAAAGGTTGTACCTACCGCATAAGTTTTCTTACACAAAACTAGCTTTAGGCAACCAAATCAGCAGATAAAGTACACCTGTGGACACGCTTAGATGCGTTCTTAATATAATATATTTAGAGGTTGTACCTACCGCATAAGTTTTCTTACACAAAACTAGCTTTAGGCAACCAAATCAGCAGATAAAGTACAACCTGTGGACACGCTTAGATGCGTTCTTAATATAATATATTTAGAGGTTGTACCTACCACATAAGTTTTCTTCCACAAAACTAGCTTTAGGCAACCAAATCAGCATATAAAATACACCTGTGGACACGCTTAGATGCGTTCTTAATATAATATATTTAGAGGTTGTACCTACCACATAAGTTTTCTTCCACAAAACTAGTTCTGGGCAACCAACCCAGCGGGTAAAATACTCCTGTAGGGATCAGGGCTGAAAGAGAAACCACCAAGAATATCAGACGTTTAGCATCCATCTTGTTACGTAAAACATGCTTGGGAAGTTAGAAGTTCATCATAAATACTCTAAGAACTTGACGAATTACAAGCACGTGCTTCGTCGGCGCGAACTTTGGTCTTCTCAGGTTACGTCGTGTGTTACTTCTAAGTAATGATCTTAAAGATATCACTATATGTTTGTTTTTTTTTCGTTTTTACCCATATACGAACTTGTTTACACTTTACAGATAAGACTGAATGTAAATATTTTGACGGTTTCATTAGATAATCTGTAAACTGTTTTAACAATAAAATAAAAAAATGATAGGATAAAAATTTGTCTCCTAATATTAAGACCCTATTACACTGTAGAGTATTAAAAAACAGACATCAGTGATCTGACTTATTTCATTCTATAAACTATTAACAGAAAATGCTACTGAGAGTAAAAAATAAGATTTAAAATTTATTGATTTAGGTAAAATGTGACCAACGTCTGTTGCTTGAAAATAACAAACAAACACAGCTCAGCGTGATAATATCTGAGAACAGAGAGAAATTTTAAATATCGCCGTAAATAATGAGAAATACGTCGTCGACGTTTCGGCCAAACGATTCTCGTCGATTTTGATTTAGCTGAAACGTTAACCGTATATCTCGTTCGGTAACAGAGTTGCTAACGATTTCTGTGATACTTGTCTCACCTTAGTTCAGGGTTAGTAATAAAAAGTGATATTAATTGAAATAGGTTATGCCGCTAGAGGGTGCTGAAAGTAAATTGTTTTGTTTGTTTGTAGTTAAGCGCAAAGCTACACAATGAGCTATCTGGACTCTGCCCACCACGGGTATCGAAACCAGGTTGCTAGCGTTGTAAGTCCGCAGACATACAGCCGTACCACTGAAACTAATAGTTGGTTCTCATTTACATCTTCACAGATAATCTTTAAATAAAATTAACATATCCACATTTTTTATATGTAAAATACCAAGCAAATCTTAATGGAAAAGAATATTCTAAAAAGACAGTGAAATTAGTAACTAAACATATGACACTGGTCCATATAACCGCAGTAAAACACTTACATATGACTTATTGTTTCGCTTTTTGCACTATTAGCTCAATCCTTATATGATGTTATTGGGATTATGGACGAAAGTATTGTTAACAGCTAGAATACACCTACGAGATGAGATAAAACAATTTATCCATTATAAGTTTCACAATCTCTGACCGATTTACATAAGTATTAGTGTATTCTGATTGCGAAACTTTTTAAGTTTAATGTCAGTTCTTTTCACTCAGCCTTCTGTAGTAGGTATAAGAATTTATGAAAATAAAGCAGAATGTAATAATATATCCACCACGCTATATCCAGTGTTGACGAGGCCTTTCGCCCAATATCAGGAGTCATCAGGTCGGCTGGGACAAGACAGACGTAGTAGTTGTCGAGACGCTATTTGTATCATCAACCACTTAAATTAAATTGTGAACTGTAGTTTTTATCATTCTTGTTTAAGTTACTAAACATGATAAATAGCTTTTATTGACCCTTCTTAGCGATTTAAAATAATCATATATAGCACCGACCCCGAGTTCATTTGTGACGTTAGCAGTAGAGGGGAGTGGGGGAACGAACCTCGATACTCACGAGGATATGTCCCCGCAGGTTCATCTCCAGAGGTAGAACTTGTGTCGAGACCCCGCGGAGTGAATTTCAATATCAACTTAAAGCAGAGAAAAACTCACAAGAGAAACAACAATTATATTGTAATATTGGATCAAAGTTGGATGTAAGCAACATCAAGTGTACTAAATAGTTTAATGGTTACTTTGCAAGTATTATTGTATTCAGGAGGATCATAGAGGTTTACTGATGGACGCTCCGGATCAGCTTAGTAGAGATAGGCCTTCTATAACCTCACCCCAGCTCAGTTTAAAACTAACGAAGTAACGAACATTTATGGGTTCACTATCGAAACCTGGATTTTAGCGTTATAAGCTCTCAGGCTTACCGCCGATCCACGGTAGGGGGGGGGGGAGGAATATCAAAATTATTCTGTCCTTTTGTCCACCCACTATAGTATTCGAGCTAAGCCATTATCTATTTACATTTTGTCCACCCACCATAGTGTTCGACCTAAGCCATTATCAGTTTAAATTTTGTCCACCCACCAGTCTTTGGGCTAAGCCATTATCTATTTACATTTTGTCCACCCACCATAGTCTTCGAGCTAAGCCATTATCTATTTAAATTTTGTCCACCCACCATAGTATTCGAGCTAAGCCATTATCAATTTCAATTTTTTCCACCCACCATAGTCTTCGAGCTAAGCCATTATCAGTTTAAATTTTGTCCACCCACCATAGTCTTCGAGCTAAGCCATTATCTATTTACATTTTGTCCACCCACCCTAATCTTCGAGCTAAGCCATTATCAGTTTAAATTTTGTCCACCCACTATAGTGTTCGAGCTAAGCCATTATCTATTTAAATACTAAGAGGGAAAGAGTAAACTATATTTCCATTACATTTCTGAATAGTTAGGTTTTGTTAAAAACAGTTTTAAAAAAGTTTCAAGAATCGATTGTACTAATTATGTTTGTCGTCCACCATAAGCGCTTTTTAAAGTTATTTGCACAGTATGTCATCTTGTAAGTTCTTGATTAGTGGCAATACGTTATTTGTGGACGTATCTTTTGCAACTTTCTATCATTTTCGAAGTAACGGAAAATTGTTTTTTTTAAATTAAAGCTTGAGGTGGTGTTAACACATTACTGTGATATATTTTCTTCTTTGTTTCATTAAAGCATTTATTTGTTCCAGCGCTTCCAGGTTCGAATTTATAAATGAAAATCAATGTACGAAACCTTTTTAGTACTGGATGTTAGCCGTTCCGGTAAGTCTTCGGAATTACAACACTAAAATCCGGGGTTCGATTCCCTGCGATGGACACAGTAGATAGTCCAATTTGGCTTTGCTCTAGAAAAAAAACAACATTAAAATCCTATGGTACACTCGGCGTCAGTTCAATAACAGTTGATACAAAACGAAACGAGGGACCCGTTGTTGCTTCGTGGAGTTTCATTCAACCTTATGAATGATAAATACAAAACAGAGAGGAACTTACGGAACAAATCACGCCGGTTGGGATGTTGGATTTAATCCAAATGCTCCTATAAGTTATCTATTTACACGGTATCTGGCTTCAGCGAGTTTATTAATATCAAAAGGGTGTAAAGCTGTAACCTACTTTTCGTTTTAAAGCTTGATCTGATTCCTGTGCTGCAAACAGAAGGGGTAAAAAGCAGCACGCTTGAGATACTTAGAACAGATGTTGACCTAGTGACTATCCATCCATCCGATACAGTTCACTATAAACTGAATGAGCCTTTCGACGTAATCAAAAAGTTGTTTTCAATTTTCATAGGGAAACAAACGAAAACGTTGTACTAGCAAACTGGCTTGGCGTGTCTCCAACTATATCACTAATATCTGTTGATTCACGTAGGAAGGAAGTTCGGGCAGTCAGTTGCTCTTAAAGTATCTTTATAGAACATTTCAAGTCATCATTTGATTACCTTACAGAGCATGAAAAGTCAATAATTAATAGTGCCTTAAAAAATCAAAGTTTATTTTGACATATTATTTATCTTTACAGAATACGATAAGTCGTCACTAAATAGTAACTTTTCAAAAAGTTAAATTACTGATTTTTAATAAAGTGGCCTCATAGCCGAAAACATTATAAAATTTTCTGTCATCAATTTTATATTTGTTAAAATAACGACATTAAAAACCACTTAAATTTGCTCTAATGACAACACAAGTTTTACGTGGTTAGCTATATTTTAGCACGTGTGTATGCATGCAAATGACTTAATTAAACCACACATGTTTAAAGAATTGTGTAACGACGAACAGCTTGAACGTCAACAAATTAATAAACTAAGGTCACATCCAATGGTTTTCCGGTTGGCCAGTTGTAAGTTTCGTAAGCTACAATACTAAAATCCGAGGTTTGATTCCACACAATAGACAGAGAGCAGATGGACCATTATGTAGCTTTGCGGTAAAAATTGCCACTACCAACAATGCATCTAAATATCCCGAATGGGGGCCAAAGACCGCTTGAAGGGATCACTTGTTTTAACCATTCGCACCACTACATAATAGTGTGTTGTCTGTCAGTCAGTCAATGGATAATAAAATGACGTCACATAAGGGACGCTTAACGTTGCAATTTGTACTGTCGTGACGCCAGTAAAACGTGCGTATACCATGAATCACGAGAAGAACTATGTACTTTGTATGCTACAGCATAGCATGACTTATGAATTTCAAAAGCAAGAAATAAAAATATTTGTTATTCTTAATCTCTATTTACTCTTGAAAGAGAACATTTTCGGGGACCCTGCGGAAGTACATCTAGTGTCTTAGGATTACAATATATAAACAAATAGAAAAAGCCTGTGTGGGTATGAATGTCACACAATCTTAATTCCTGGTTACAGCGGAAGGAAAACAATTTTAAGTGTTGTCTAAAACAGTAATCGTACTTGTTAATTAATAACGTTCGGACACATGGAGCTATCTGCTGTGTTCAGTGAGGGGAATCGAACCCCTGATTTTAGCCTTGTAAGTCTGCAGACTTACCGCTGTCAGCGGGGGGGTACTAAAATATTAAGTTTGAAAATCATATTAACACAGTGTTATTAGTTACTTTTATTATTGTTCTGCATTAGTTTCTTACAATGTATCCCCCCAGTGGCACAATCTTACAATGCTATTTTCCTTTTAAAATTATGTATTGAGCCCTTCATTCTATCAATGAAACATATACTGGGTATTAAAGCATTCAGTCTATCAACGAAACATATACTGTGCACTAAGTCATTCAGTCTATCAAGAAAACATATACTGTGCACTAAGTCATTCAGTCTATCAAGAAAACATATACTGTGTATTAAGTCATTCAGTTCTATATCAAGTCATTCAGTTTATCAACGAAACATATACTGTGTATTAAGTCATTCAGTCTTTATCAACGAAACATATACTGTGTATTAAGTCATTCAGTCTATCAAGGAAACATATACTGTGTATTAAGTTATTCAGTCTATCAAGGAAACTTACAGTATATGTTGAGTCTTTCAAAAAAAGATACAATATATTAATGGACCAAAACGTTCAACACATATTGAATGTGTTAGTAATGGACCAAATCGTTCAACACATGTTGAATGTGTTAGTAATGGACCAAAACGTTCAACAAATATTGAAGATGTTAGTAATGGACCAAAACGTTCAACACATATTGAAGGTGTTAGTTATGGACCAAAACGTTCAATACATACTGAATGTGTTATTAATGGACCAAAAACGTTCATCACATATTGAATGTGTAAGTAATGACTAAAACGTTCAAAACATATTGCATGTTTTGTGAAGGGACTAATCAACAACATACATGTTTTGAACGTTCTATTAATTGGCTATGATACTAACTTAACATTTTCAATATGTGTTGAACATTTTGGTCCATTACTAACACATTCAATATGTGTGATGAACGATTTGGTCCATTACTAACACATTCAATATGTTTTGAACGATTTGATCCATTACTAACACCTTCAATATGTTTTGAACGATTTGATCCATTACTAACACCTTCAATATGTGTTGAAAATTTTGGTCCATTACTAACACATTCAATACGTGTGATGAACGTTTTATTCATTCAAAATTACTTTTTGTCACACATTTTAATTGTTTTAGGAACTCGTTATTATGTCTTCCACCTGTTACTTGTTTTAATTCTTCCCGAACTATTGTATTAATGTTTACCTATTGTTTTAATCTTTGTTATTAATTTTACATGTTATCGCATTCTCTCTCTCTCTTACTTTTTGATAATTATTAATTTTATAACGATAAAGTTCGAAATGTTAACCATTGATTGTTTATCTATTCATGATAAATACAAAATTACATTTTTC